CATGTAGCTTAAGATATATCCACCTGCATAGTGGACTTTGCTGTAAAATTATAGCTTTTGTGGTTCTGTTAAATGATCCAGCATAGGCTGGTGAGCTTTGAGTATAGTGCAGAACTTATAGCTGAAAAATACGTTGTGAAAATGGAAAAATGTATTTTGGAAATGAAATAAAAGAATTCTTAATGCAGTATGTGTTACTATCTTCAGTTGGACCTGTGTGTTACCTTTCCCAAGTGCTTTGTCAAGCAGCAACAGCACCTATAGAATTGGATCAGGCTCTTTCTGCCCATTCTTAGGAAATTGCTGAGCAGCAAAGAAGATGTCTGGAGCTCTCTGAAGGATGGGGGATCCAAGTAGAAAGTGAAGAAGAAACATGCTAGCATTCAGACCCTTTCCACTCTTGAAGAAGCAAGGATGCTTCTGTCAGCTGGGAAGAGGAAGGTTTGTGATCACCAAGAAAGAGGAGAGTGATTTAAATAAATGAATTGATAATACAGCAAGGGACTTTTTATGAGATACGAAATAGAAGAGACAATAAAACTGCATCTAGAAATTACTGAATCGAGAATTTGCTAACTTACATATGGCAGTTAAGTTCTGGGTGTATTTTTTGTGCTTTAGCACTTCGGCAGTATATCTTAGAAGTTTTATTCAAGCATTGTTAAATCTTTCATAACAGAATCTAAGTACTTGCATGACAAAATTACTATGCTTCCTGTAATAACCTGGACACAAAAAAGTAAATGTTCCTTTTCCAGAATCTAAAAATTCCTCATCAAGAAAATTCCAAAATAAGAAAAACTCCAGAGGCATTTTGTATGCTATTTTTGAGCATTAAATGCTTTAATGCCTCTACCGTCCAAACATATAATTCAGTATAAAAATTTTTCAAAAGGTTTTAGGCCATGCATCCAAAATGATCTGTAACCTGCAACAAGGTAACAGGAACTAGCAACACTTGGAGAAAAAGGTATGTGAATGCAGAACATAGAATGATGATAGAATGGGTAATTTCTTGCATTTCAAAACAATGCTGAAAATACTACTAATTCCTGACTGATTCTGATTACATTGGTTACATTGGGCATCTAATTAGCAAATGAATCCAGAATTCACAAACTGGATGAAATTTTTTGAGTTAGTGAAATTGGGTTACCTGATACATTATCTAAACAAAGCTGTTTTCTAAGAGAAATATTTTGCTTTGTTTCTTTTACATTACAAACATTTTAATTCTAGAATTTGTAAGCCAATAAGTGTTCTTCAGAACTGTGTTCCTCATTCAATGGGTTTTTTTCTTTTTTTTTTGTCTGTATTTTTGCGTATGGAGAAGGTCTCATGGGTAGTAACTGCTGTTCTGATCTAAAGTAACAAAAATTCCCCTACTGTATCACCAGTTCTGTTAATTGCATACATTAATGTAAAATTGTGTTGTCTCTTAATTTTCAGGTAAATACCTGCCTGATTTCTAATGAAAGGTTTTTTGTTGTGATGTAGTTGTTTTAAGTGTTTTGTGGAAAGATGGCTCTGATTACAGGAGTATTTAGTCTTCTGATGACTTGTGTTAATCTGCTGTTAGTTTATTCTTTGTTCTGTAAAACTATCTTTAATAAAACATGATTTTAAAACTGCCTTTTTTTTTTTTTTTCTCCAGTGGAATACTCTAAAATTCATATATAGGTCAGAGTTTTTTGAGCAAAAATGTCCTGAATTCTAAAGAAGTGGAGAATAAAACAGAGTGTAATTACCACTGAAGGAATTGCATAGTTTGAAAGAGGTGGGGCAAAAGGTTAAAAAAAAGTAATTGCATTTTCTTTGGCCCTCATGGTTCTCTGTTTCCTTTTGCTTACTCCAGTGTCTAATATATTTGTCATCTTTCTGGAAGTCTGGGGGTATCCTGGCAGCAGAAATTTTTCTGTAACCCTCTCAAAATTTAGCTTTCTTCCCTTCTGTCTCCTGATCCACTATGGGTATCATAGTTCTGCTACACTGTTAGCTTACTTCCTTAAGCTATTTTCTACGTGTATTTGAGAAGTCTGTTCTCAGAGATCCAGATGAAAAAGGCCAGGCTGGGGAGATCATGTTCATAAAAGCTTCTTTCTGACTCTTTAAATGGATTTAAGGAGATGGAAGCACAGATAAATGGGCTGTTTCTTACAGTATATTACTTTGATCAAGCTGTCTTTGCCACCATCTATCTAAATGATGGTGACAAATTTTTAAAATAAATGGTGGAACTCAAATACTTCAAGTGAGTTTCGTAACCCTAGTCTGCTAATGTCTGTATTTCAGTGAGCTTTTCTGTTAGAAGCTCAGTAGGGCATTCAGGATGACAGTAAGGCTGCTGAGAGCCTGTGTTGCTACCAAGTTTTTCTCTCCAGGGAGGTGCAGCATAATGTTTTTCACATGTTTGTCTTAACAGTGCAAGGCCTTGTTGCACTCCAGGAAACTGATGTGCAGTCACTGGCATCAGTAGTTTATGCCCTACTTTTAACCACGTGTTGTGTGGGAGTGGGACAAGGAAACTAGCCTTCAGGATAAATGTTGAGCAATGAATGTGACCTGTATACTGTTTGTTATTTGTTATTCTGTTTTCTACTGCATTCTCCTAAATGATATAAGGAAATGAGATAAATTATTATCTGCTATTCTCCTAGTTGAAACTTCTCCCTTGGAAACGGTTAACAGCCATTCATTGTTAGGCTGGCCAGGTGTCACAAGTGCAGCCCTAGATCCACTTCTGCTTTAACTCCCTGGGTAATGGAGTTAGCTGACCTTTGTAACATATAGGGTTGGGGCACGTGGACAGAGTGGATGCTGCAAACACCTTGGCTGAAATTGGAGTTCCTGGTGTCTGTGGTGTATGAGATAGATGATCTGAAATCCACTCATAAAATACAGTGAAGACTAGCATTTAGAAGGAGAAATTAAATGCAGAAGGCGTAGGGAGGTACTATGGCAAAATACATCTTGTGAGTGGTTTGGGGTTCACAGAATAAGTGGCAAGTCATAATTCTACATGATTCTTTGGCAGAAAAGGCATATTCTCTCTCTGACCTACTAAAGCTCCTGCTGCACACAAGACTAGGTGTGATTTATCCTTTTCTGTTTGATGCTCATCTGTGTCTACTTTGGGAAACTGTTTTACAGATGATTATAGCATTATAGAAATTCTATAGGTTATAGAAAAACAAGGCTTAAAAAGAATTATAAATGGCACTACCAGTTTAGGAAAAGTAGCTTGTGAGGAAAATCTTTCAGTAATTGGGTATGCTTATCCTAAAGGGGAAAAGAGTGGGCAGTAAGTGCAGAATATTACAAAGTTATTAGCAAGTAATTGTTTGGAGGAGTTTTGTTTTGTTTGTTGTGTTTTGGGGGGTTGTTTGTTTTTTGTTGGTGGTGGGGGTTTGTTGTTGTTTTTTTTTCTTTCATTTCTCTCCAGCAACTTCATTTGAAGTGATGAGCTTAGGTTAAAAACTAGGAAACATTTTCTAATGTCTAAATTACTAAAAGTCTACCAAGGATCTTGGAAAACATACTTCAGTGGATATTTTAAATAACGAGTTGATAAGCATCTGGTAATAGATGTTTTAGCTGTGTAAACTGATCTGACTTACAGTGATGCTTTCACAAGCTAAGCATTTAGAGAGCTATTTTCAACATATTTTTTAGTAAAAAATTTTAGTAATTTTAATAATTATTGATGTTACCATATTTAATATGAAATTCCATTTAATCATACCTAATGTGAAATGCTCTCTATAAGAAATTCAGTTAATTCACACATGAAATCTCTTAGATGATAAACCATTTTTTCTTCTTTCTTTTTAGTTTCATCTTGCTAAGACACAAACTAGGTTACAGAAAAAACCTAAATTATTTATACTATTGTGACTTCATTCTTATTGCTCCTGTTAATAATGTAACAGAAGAACACAAATGTATATCTTGAGCTTTTAAAAAATCTTCAACATTTTTTCCTCTAAATGGCTATTCGCTTTTGATCTGCTTATGTTACAGCATCACTATTAAGTGCTCTGGTCTGTCATATTTTAAATCTGTTTTTGCATAAATGAACGTCTACCCTCATAAGGTAAGAATTAGTTTAGCAGGTACAACATTTCTCTCATTGACTATAACTATAAAAAGCTATAGAATGGCATTTGACAAAGCTAAAAGTAGTGGTCCAGCAGCATCACTGCAGTGGTCTTTCAATCCATTCATCAAGCTCCTGGTTTTGACAGAAGAATGCATTTTACTCAGAGCAGTGCAGAAATGAAACCTTTTGAAGTACTTCAACAGTGAAAAAGAGGATGAAAATGGAAAGAGAGTCTTTATAATTATTAAAAAAGTCATAGAATTTAGTAGAATTATTCTATTAAAGTTTATATTTTCCTCCTATGCCTTTTATATGTTGGAAAAAAATAATTTAAATTGACATTAGAACTATTAAAAAAAAGGTGTCCTGTGGTTTTCATGTTTACTGGCCTCTTACTTTTAAAATCCCACTCCCAAATAATGCAATATGTGCCATTGAAGATTTTTTGGTTGTTTTAAGGCTGTTCACTCAAAGATCTGGCAGTTTCTGTAATGAGGGGAAAAAAACCCAGAACACAAAACACAACACAATTATTCATTTATATCTAGAGCATTCTATTTTCATCCTTCAGTATATTTCATTGAGAGGCATGCAAATACTTGATGTTCTTCCCCCAGTGCTTTTGAACTGTTATATCACTCGTTATATGACTTGTTATCTATTTCAGATTATTTCTGGATTAACATGTAGGCCTGTTTTCAGAAGAGCAGAGAACTCAATATTTCCCCCTCTATTTATTTTACTTTCTTACAAATTCATTAATTTCCTTTACTCTCTGCAGAACTTTTACAAATTTTTTCTCTTTTCTGATTGGTTTCTGTGTTTGAGCCTTTATTTTAAGCTTCTGAGGATGCTGAAAGGAAGGTGTGTGGACTCCAAGTAAAATTTTGTTACAGCAACTATGGTGTAACTTCGAGCTTTACTTGTGGTGTTTTTATTGCATTGTGATTCTGATATATTTTTTACTAGCATGAAATCAATTCTTCTGTTTTCATTTCTTAATAATTATTTTGGGTTATGATCTCATCTTAGCATTTAGTCTGCAGAATACCTGGAAAGATAAAATAATCTCCTTGCCACCTTGTTTTAGCAATAATCAGTTTTATTTTTTAGTGTAAGCGTTATGAAAGGAGAGATTGTGGTTTAGATAACTAGTTGGCTATTGCTAGAACATCTTTACAATATACTTCTGAGCTTTTAATTTTACTTTTCTGAAATGTGTAGGCGAGGGAGAATTTGTTATCATGGAGTGATATAGAGTAAATAAACCAGAGGTGATGTATCAGAACTGAAACAGAGTACACTGATGTGGGATCAATGTTTTAGTGTACAGTCTGGAAGACTGGGACCATGTTCCTCAGCTCTTTCAAGGCTGGGATGACTCTTGATGTGAATAAAGGCAAGAGTGTCATTGCATGATATAATACAGGGAGTGCGGTGCCTACAAAGTTGAAA